AATCCAACCAAAATTGTCCCTTTTTTTTTTTTTTTTTTTTTTTTTTTTTATTGTTTAAATTACAATTTCGTCTTTATTTGTGGCCCACGGTCAAAAATTAGGGCTGTCATGGATGGTTAGAAGTTTTGTAAAAGCGGAATTTCGAGAAATCCTCAAGATATTTGTGTACTATGTAGTTAAAGGATGTAACTAAAGTGTTGAAATTCCTTACCGTTCTTTCATGATGCTATGTTGTGACAATAAAGCTGTAATCAACATTTCTTACAATCCAATTCCAATCCAACGTGACATCAACATTTCTTACAATCCAATTTCAATACAATGTGGCAGAGCTATACCGTGACAAGAAGGCTGCAATCAATATTTTTCACAATCTAATACAGTGAGGGAACTAGAATTTATCAGTAGGAGGGCCAAAATTTTTTTTTTTTTATCAAGATTATACAAATGTTTATGGACTTAATAAACTTGTATTTTATTTTTTAAATCTAAATAGTTAGGCTAATAAAATGTAGATAACTATTAATTTATGAAGGCCAAGTCTAATTTATACATATATCTATTATATTAAAATCAATACTACTATATTAAAAAAAAAGAAAAAAAAGCTAGGGGGGCCGTAGTCCCCTTCTGCCCTCTAATTCTGTCATTGAATACAACATGATAAGACTAAGCATATTGAAATTAATTGACATTTCACCTAAGAGAAACACGAAGGAGTAGTGATTCACATGCTCCTTCTCGTCTTCTTATTTTTCTTTTTCTTTTGTTCAGTAACAAAAACTTGATAACATAACTTTTAAGGTATTTCCTAGATCAAGCTTTGAAGCATGAACCAAGAAAGAAGTTGTGCATGACAAATATCTATTATGTATGTATTATGTATGTGCTAGGTTCAAGGTGGATTGTAGAAAAATCCTAATGCTATGAATTTGGAGATCATGCTAAGAAATATATTATCTTAAACTTAAAAGTTCATATCCTTAGTTTCTGGGATTAGGAAGCTTATCAAATTGGCCTGTATTTATAGTTTACTATTAGTTTTTTAACTGGTGTATGAACTTCTTATGTTTCATAATTTATAAAACTTCATTATTTTCTCCCATTCTCCGCATGCTTATACATACGTTTGTTGATGAATATTTTTTTTTGAAGAAAGAGGGAAATAGACCAAGACTTGAGATGAATTAAAATTAATAGGCCAATAGTTTACATAAGTTAATAAATAGGCCAAATTACTATTTTTGTCCATAACTTGTATGGTTATGGACCATAACTTGACAAGTTATTGTCCATAATTCACGGTTTTTATCCATAACTTATCTGGTTATACCATAACTTGACAAGTTTATCCATAACTTATCTGGTTATGAACCATAACTTGACAAGTTATGGCCTATTAATTTCTATAACTAAAAGTTGACATATATACTTTCTTAAGCTTTTCATATTGGTCTATTTTCTACTATTTCCGTATTTTTTTTTACTACACCTATATGGTATGGGGCCTATGCCAGCCTCCCACTTTACTCAATAAATAACACCATAAGAATTCGAACCATGGTGTTTACATGTAGATACTCACATAGCCAACCACTTAAAAAATGTACATCTATTAATTCTAGAAATACCACGTACAACTTTGCTTATCATAATTTTCACTAAGAGTATTGGCAAAAGAATTCAACTCAAAATTTTTTTTTTTTGAGAGGAACTCAAAATTATAAGGAGGCGAGTAAAAACGTGCTAAAAAGCACATCATAATTGCATTTCAGGCATTCATTCAACATTTAGCTATCCAAGGGTACATTTGAAAGCAAATTTTCAAATTTTAAACCTATTGATTCACGCCAATATTTTTGCAAGAAGTTCAAAATAGAATTGGAGTAACTGTGTAATTTCTCCCAATAGAATGTACTATTAATGCCCAATCATGCCTTTTCTTCTTCAATATGGTCAATTTTGATGGAGTGACTTGACTGAGGCAATTAAATTGGTCAAGCAGGCTAGGTGGAAAGATTTTGACTCCGCTGCTAATTATGAAAATTTTCTTACTTGACTAAAATATTAGGGGATGTTTGATATTTAGATTCGTTTTCTGATTCGAATCATGGTTCGTGGTTCGCTACAGTATTTTTTCTCAAAAAAAATACACGTAAATCGAAAATAATTCTAATCACATGGTTTTAATCCATGAACCAAACGTCTCTTAGACTCCGTTTACTTTATTGATTCGAGTTTAGAATTTGAGTTTTATTACAGTAAAAAGCTTTCAGAAACAGTCACATTTAATTTTTTTGTTACAGTAAAAAGTTCTTACATAAAGTCATATCTCAACCCGAATTAAAAATTCGAATCAACGAACTAAATGAGTATTTAGATTGCATTTTTAACGGCAAAATAGAATCCTTTTATGGCTCTCAAAGGATAATTTTTCTGGGACGTTGGGACCTACTTTGTGCTCCAGCAATTCCTCTGTTTAGTGCGACAGAATTATTTGGTGTTCGTTGAAATGCAACAATTGTGCAGACATATAAATTTTAAATAATGATTGGGCGTGTTTGGCCGAAGGCAGATCATTTGTTCATGACATTAAAGTTTGGATGTTTGAAAATATAGCCACATGAAACTTGTCGTTTATATAAACGGATTTCTTTGAAGGAAAAAAAAAAAGCGGATTTCAATTTTAACAGTCAAATTTTCGAACATACTACTATGTTACAAACGAAAAAAAGAGATAAATACTCTTATAGTGTATGTATTTAAATTTTTACTATTATTTTTAATTAATACTTTTGTAATCAAATAATTATATTAATAAAAAATATATTAATTAAGAGTAAATATAAAAATTTAGATCCATACCTATTCTATGAGTAAGATAATCATAATTGAGGATACATCAGGTCAGAAGAAGAGGCAGTGGGCATGGCCCGGTGTGTGACTAGCTTTGCTTTTGATGGCCTTTTGTTGACTTAAATTTGTCCGGATTGTTGAAGAAGTAATGATGTAAATTCCGAGTGTAGTCATGAATATTACATCCAAGTATATATTTATTATAATATATATATTAAATTGACATAATCATATTTGATATCTACAGAGAAAGAGAAAGATACATAATTTGTTATGATTTTATATTGTTTATGTCATTCTAAATAAATGAATATTATTGTGAACTTTTATTTTTTTATTAATTAAATAATAATTGAGTAACATAAATAATATTCTTATCATCTTGAGTGGTATTTCTAATCTTTTTTCATATTCTACAGTAAAATTTTCCCACACTTATAACCTATAAAAAAAAAAAGAGGATCGCATTTATACACCACAAAAAAAAAAAGAAAAAAAAATTAGAAACGTCAAATTGCACAAGGTTGTGTAAAAGTCGCATGGCAACTCAATTTTTTATTCTTTTCGTAGAAAAATAAAAAACGTAGGATTGATGTGACCATCGTGAAGGTAAACCATGGCGGAATGTTCCTAATATCACTAATCACTCTAACAACACCAAAATCTAAAGAAAAATCGAAGCCTAGGACACCGCTACTAGTGGGGTCTTGGGACTACTACTCATGCATCTTTTATATTTAAACTAATTTGTGATATTTGAGGTTTATTCTCGATACTATTTTGATATTTGACTTTTAAAATATCCCACTTTGATATTTGACTAGCATCTCACAATTGATTCTGAATTATGGTTCTGAATTTATGAACTAAATGTCTACTAATTTGTGATATATGAGATTTATTCTCAATTCTATTTTGATATTTGACTTTTAAAATATCCCACTTTGATCTTTGACTAGCATCCCGCAGTTGATCTATGAGGTTTACTTTATTTCAATTTATGTCATTTCATCATCTAAGTGTTAAATTTTTAAAAGAATCTGTGAAAATTAAAAATTAAAATTGAAAATATTTAAAGTTCAGAGGCTAAAATAATACAAAAAATGAAAGTGAATTTCCATGAATAGTCTCTAAATTTTAAATGTTTTCAATTCTACTTCCTAATTTACAGAGATTACGTCAAATATTTTACAAATAGCCAGAATGACTAAAACTGTACGAGAGTATAACCTCAGGCCAAATGCATGACTTTGTAAAAGTCATGAACCAAAGTGAGAGGTAAACCTTAACAACTATTAGTGGGATTAACTTTTTATATTTCATTTCTAGAGATCACACTGACTTAAACAAGGGAAACAATGTGCATCTAAGTTTTAAGAATTCATGACCATCCAGTTTTTTTGAAAGAGGAACGTCCCTGAGGGCGAAACAATAAAATTAAATTAATTAATCAGAACTAGAACAGCAGTATACAGTTACAAAGTTTTGGATGCAGCTAGGCGCCTCTTCAAGCCAATATCTATCCTCTGCAGAATTAAAAACCAAAGCAAGCATGGGCAATTCTATTCCCACAACGAGGAAAGAACTTAAAACAAACATTAAGAAAGTTAGGAACAAAGGATAAAATGTCCCTTACAACCCTCAATTGCATAAGCTCTAACCTGGGTGATGGATTCAACAACATTCCTCGCATCTGTTTGCACCACTGAAACGTTGAGTCCTACTTCAGCTGCAAACTTGAGGCCTTCTCTGACAGCGAAGCATTCAGCCATAAAAGAAGAAAAGTTTCCGCTGATTGTCTTGGCCATAGCTCCTAACACATCTCCTGAATGATCACGAATCACCGCTCCTACACCGATCTAAGCTGATCCCTCCACAACATCTTTAACATCCCCCTTTCAGGACGACACCAGCCCTTTTTTCCCGGTAACGACTCCGAATCAATTAGCGAAGTCGCTCGTTGACCCACACTATATTCAGATAGCCAATTGGTAGCACGATCAACAACCACCTCTGCAGGTGAAGAGTTCTCACCACGGACTTCACAGTTTCGGTCATACCAGACAATTTTAGGTTTAAGGAGCATCTTCAACTTTCGTAATTGACATAAAATAATTGATTAGGTTTAAAACGTTATTCCTATGGAAATCTGTTCTCAGATTGAGGGGAGTTTTAAGTTGCACTACGTGAAGATGTGTTCATAACTTGCTCAGCTTTTAATAATACTATTGCTAACTGGACACATTCTTCACTGTCATCGCTACAGGCCTTTCTCTTAGCGAACTGGCATGTTCTACAAGATCCAGACGCAAATTTGTTTCAAGAACGGGTTGATTAAACAAGGAGCAATGTCATCAGAAAGGCCGCACCCCGTGAGTTATGTCGGCCGACTCTGGAAGTGAGGAAGCCGGGCAGACCTATAAAAAGCGTAGCACATTCTCCAGGACTGGTATGACGATGAAGAAATATTGGATTCAAAATAAAATTCAAGATAGAAGTAGGCAACCTTTGTTTGCCATGTTTGTCAAATGGATACCACTATAAATCACAGCCAGAGCCACAAGATACAGAGTGCGTTTTTTTTTTTTTTTTTTCCTTTCCACATTTAAGAAACTACTGATACAAAGGAGTTAAACTGACGCTTTAGCTGATGTACTTTTTCTGAACTAATGATACAATGACGACTACATCATCGAGCTTGCCACCCGCATAACCCACATAACCTGCTGTCTGAGCTGCGTCTGCAAATGGACACCCTGATGATGAGGATCGTCCCACCTCTTGTGCCCTTTTAGCCAATATCCTTGCTGTGTCCTGAAACAGATAAATAGTCAAGAAAAAAAAAAAAAAAAAAAAAAAACAGGGACCTAAAGAAACAGCTGGGGTTATCAACGCATAACGCAATCGAGCTTTGCTACTAGAGATAACCAAGATTCAGTCACTCGGTGAGAAGATAGGCTTCTTAAATTTGTGCAATGTTTTGAAGGCCAAGCATCAAGGCCAGTGCTTTTAACCAACGTAATTAATGTATGACTGGAGATTTTTTTTGTAGAATTGGAAGTTGATTGCTACAAGAACGAACAGCAACAGAGTAAGAATAGCGAAATAACTCAGGCAATAAGGTTGACAAATCTGCTACCAAAAAAAAGTTTACCAATCTAGAGTAAGCCAAGATCCCAGTATCATGCGGAGAATAAAGGAAACATCTAAAAAAAGTTTGTGGAACATGTCAGAATATAAAGGAGTTTCTTTGCCTCTGGTTTCCACAGGCTACTTGTGTGGCTTGGAGACAACTGCTTATTTTTCTTTCTATTCACATTCTAAAGAAGCTTCTAAGAAGTAATGGGGATAGAGTCACAACACACCTGCGGTTTGAAACCAGCTTCAAATGATTTTGATACAATTGAAGCAATTTCTTGTTGGTATAAATTATCAAAAAGGCCATCTGTCGCAGTGACAATCACATCTCCCTCATCCAAACCAATTCTGTACCGCTGAAACATAAACATTCTTTAATATAAGCCTCCACAATCTTTGACATCATGCTTTCATTCACAATGAAAATGGAAAAACATAAAAAAGATTTTGTCTGTTTGTTTGTTTTGTTTTCTTTTTTTTGTTTTTTGACGGTGTTCGGAGGCATACAAATGGGAGTTGCAAGAAAAAGATTACTGCATTCTTCAAACATCTTTCGTAGGGAAGAATGGAGATTGTACTTTTGTGCTTCTGAAAACATGACGAGTTCATCATTATAAAGTTTGGTTGGAGAAGTAATTTCATATGACATACCTCTATGAGTTTGGAGGGATCGTCACCTCTTTCAATATGTACTGGAAAATTGAACTCGTGTACCATTGGAGATGACTGCTGAAAGACAGCACCACCTCGAATTATGATGAATCCCGAGTCACCAATGTTGGCCACGTGGAAAGTCTGTAAAAGTTTCAATTTAGAGCATTTGATAGCAATTCTAATTAAGAAAATGTACGTGTACGTGTAATGTATATGTGTGTGACTCTGTATATTACACTCACACACAAAAACAACCTGCCATCATTGCCTCCCTCAGCAACTAGCTACTTCTTTTGCCTATAGGCTAAACTTAAGCCAAGGAATACATCCTCAAAAAAGTACATATAAACAAATCATTTTGTTTCCATTGGAATTGAAACTTCATCATAATCACTCAAACAGATGTACCGATCAAACTCCCCTTACTACACATAGCTGAATACCATGTAGCATCCCTTTTTCTTGTTTCATTATTATATTTCAATCTTTTCTTTAGACTAGTTAAGCCACGTGCTACACACGTGTGGAATAACTTTGTAAGCTTAGCTTGATTTCACGTCAAAACACATAGCCTCCTTAAAAGCTAAGTTCATTAGTTGGAGCAAGAGAAGAAAGTTAAAAAAATCATATTGAAAAAAATTAAAAGTTATCAGAATTTTTGACAAAAAAAGAAAAAGTAGGGAGACATTTGAAAGTATTTCAAAGAAGGATAATGTAACAAAAATGAATTGTCAAAAAATATTAGAAGAAAAGGTAAAAAAAAAAAAGACAATACGAAAAAGAAAAGAAGAAAAATAATTAAAAAAATAAAAAAAGAATAGACAAAAAAGAGGAAAAGTTTTAAAAAATAATTAAATTATATAGGAGTTTTTGAAAAAAAAAAGTAGCAACATATTTGAATGGAATTATTTTAATTAAAAAATGTTTTCAAAGAAAGATTGTAAAAAAAAAAAAATTGAACTGACAAAGAATATTCGGAAACATTAAAAACAAGAAAGACAATAGAGGCAAAAGAAAAGAAGAAAAATAAAAAAATTTAAAAAGAAGAACAAAAAAACATAAAAAGTTAGAAAAAAGAAAAGAAAAACAGAAGAAGTGGCCTCCTTCGTGGCCAAGTCCACTTGACTGTTTTTATATACATTAGATTAGATATTAAATTGGATGTATCGATTAAATTATAAAGAGCCCTAGGAAAAATAAAATAAAACATAAAAACAAAACAAAATAAGTTTAGAAAAGAGCAAAACGCATGTTAAAAAAAAGTAAACTGTAACATTTATAAAATAAAAAAAAATAAAAGAACAAAACAAAACATTTAAAAATAAAGATAGGAAAAGTTAGAAGGGTGGGGTGGGGGGTGGGGAGGGGGGAGGAGTAGGGCAGGGGGCCCGGGGCTACCTCATGGTTGCCTGAGAAGTGTTATGTTAAAGCATTGGAGAAAAAAATATGTATGAAGGTAGCTTTTGATATAATAGGTTTTACACGAAAAACAATTAAATGTGAACACATTTGAAGAAAATTATTTTAACCATTCAAAAAAAAAAAAAAAGAACACATGCGGAAGAAATCACTTTCATAGGAGTAAACTGAGGAAAAAATATGTTTTACAAAAACATATGTAAAAAATTAAACTGCAAAAAACATTAACAGAATAACAAATAAAAAAATAATACATTTAAAAAATAAAAAAGAAAGTGAGAAAAAAGGGAGAAAAGAGGAGGAAGGCGGGGTGAGAGGGAGGGGCTACTACATGGCAGTCTTGAGAGTGCTTAGGGAGCACTGTAGAAAAGAGTACTTGGCTCTTTTATGTACTGTTAGATTAGATGTTAGATGCATAGATATATATATATATAACGATAAAAATAACTTTCAATACGATAGAAATTATTCAAAAACCCCTTAAAAAATGACACAAAAAATAATTAAGTAAGAACACTTTTAAAGAAAATTATTTTAACCGTTAACAAAAAAATTAAATAGAAACAGATGCAAAAGAAATTACTTTCATAGGAGTAAAGGGAAAACTATATTTTAAAAAACTCACTAAAGAATTAAACTATAAGAAATAACCTTCATAGGAGTAAAGGGAAAAAAATATTTTTAAAAATACGAGTAGAAAATTAAACTGTAAAAAAAACTACAAAATAAAAAATAAAAAAGCAAGACTTAAAAGAAAAAATGAAGATAAAAAGGTAAGGAAGGGAAAGAAAGGAAAAAAAAAATGGAGAGGAAGGAGGGGTTGACACGTGGCACTCTCAGGGGAGAGTGCTATAACAAGAGCCTTTTTTTTTTTTTTTGAAGGAACAGTAACAAGAGCCTTTGACTTTTTTATGCATTATTAAATTAGATAAGTAATTCCACCGAAAAGAAGAGAGACCAACGAACGCTAATTTGAGCAAGTGTACAAGGGACCTGACGGAGAAAAGGAACAAAAAAAAGCACAGATAATACATAATATAACCTACATGATTAATTAATGTCTTAGGATCTTTGGCACTTTTTGCCCCTGAAATTTTTGCAAATTGGCAAGCTGTCCCGTGAACTTTCAATTTTAGCAAATTACTCTCTAAATTTAATGAAGTGTTGCAGGGTACCTCAAATAGAGAAGGCTTTTTAAAATTTGGATGGAAATGCCATCACACATATCGTGAAAGTTTGTTTGAAAAGCAGAGACTGGAATTTCGGATGAGAATTGGGAATGATGACAAAGCATGTCATGTCACGTGTAAAAGCGCGTTTCCATCCAAATTTAATAGTAGTTAATTAGACCACCATTTCCAAGAAACAACATTAGACTCCTGCATCCTAGACCTGAAATAGAAAGAGAAATCCAAGACCAATAGTATAAAGGAAATACAGATGACACCTAGCAATGAGAAAACGTCTCTAATAAGAACCCAACAACCGCAAGTATTATCTTGTCACATGCACAATCTTGGGACAGGACAGAGATAAGATTCCAAAAGATACTCTATTGATGTTCATTGTACAGGGAAACTTAAGCATAGGAAGTTAATACCTGACCATCAAAGTAAGCAACCAAAATTGTTGATGATCCATGTGATTGTGTTTCTGCAACACTTCTAAAGAGAACTTCGTCTGGTTCTTTCACTGGAGTGCCTTTGCAATCTGCCATAATTCTTGCACAATTATCCATGAGTTCTCGGGCGTATAGTGCAGCACTGCTCCCTGAAAATGAGGTGGAAGTAGTCAACTAATGATCCAAATACAATAATTAAAGAACAAAAACAAAAACAAAAACAAAAACCTACAATTATAGAAGATAAGGAACTAAGATATTTCGAACCGCAGTTTGCTGAATCTTTTAAAGTGCATATAAAAAGTTAACTTAGAGAGATGAAAAGTTTTGCGGCCTGCTCTAAAATATTTAGGCCCAGTTCATATCTTTAGTTCGAATCACAACTCAAGTTTTTACTACAGTATTTGCTCTCACAAAAATTTAAATTCAACTTTTTCTGCTACAGTATTTTCTCTCATATTAAGTCATTTTTTAACTCAAATTCTTAGCTCAAACGAACGAAACGAACGGGGTCTTAGAAAATGAGAATAAAGTACAAGAATATTTTAATGACTTATGAAAGTCAACATTTTGTACCATAGCTTTTTTCTCCTTTACTCAAAAATCAATCAGTGGCGTGTTACAAATTAATTTAATGCATAACCTATGTATTTTATTATGCTCCAGTAAGGTTAAAATATGCCGAGTTTGTTTTTTTTTTTTTACTTCACAAAGGCCACATTAAGGGAGAGATTTTATAATAGGCCAACCCCGAATACACATTAATCTTGCAGATCAGGAAAGCCCAAACTATAATTATGGCAGTGAACATCTCGTCGATAATGTTACTCCATTAAAGAGTAGAAATAGAACTGGAACCAAATAATATGAAGAAAAAATACACATTAAGTATAACGTATAGTTACTTGTTGCCAGGAACAAAAATGTTATGAAAGAAGAGAGAGTGACCTTTTGGGACAAGAAGTTACCAAATAGACAAAGCATGACATGAGCTTCCAATAATCATTTTATTACTGTACCATAAAATCAGAGTACTATTGCCTTGAACGTATAAAAGAGTTAGTTATGCACCAAATCACCAAGTCACTCTGAATCATTGAGGTGTAAATATTTCAGAAGCTAATGCTTGCGCATAAGAGTTCCAGCCACTACTGTACTGTTCACTACCGAAGACAGCGATAAAAGATGATTTTAAATGCTTTATAGATACTTAAAATGATAGGACAGATACCTTCTAGTGACCACTGACCGACTCCGTCAGCCACACCTAGCCAACTTTGGCAAGCGACAAAATACGCATCCTCTCCACCTGTCAACGCCTGGCAATTATTACTTTTTGAATTATTATATCATTAGACTAAAACTCAGAAAAAAAATCAGAAGGTGTTTGTGAGTCATGGATGTTTGCAGATGCACATGCTATTAGATTGTAAAAATTGAAAGACCAAAACAAACATTCTCGCGTTTGCACTTGTTCATAGTAAAAATGGGAGTTTTTCATATTCAAATAAAAACATTGGGTGCAATTTCAACATGTGAAACATACTTAAAGATAAGAATTATAATAAAATAAGTATATACCTTTTGAGGGATGAGGCAATGAAGCAGCACCAGAAGATAGTACAAATCCCGCTCTTGAGGTTTCCTCCCTACATACAAAATGAACAAACATGAGGAACAACCAATAGACAATGCTTCTATGAGTAAGTTAACTTTATTTATTATTTTTTTGTTTATTTATTTATTATTATTTTTTTTTACGATACATAATTTCAGTATGAGGATGATTATAGTAAGTCAATAAAAACTGATGTGCCCTGACAAATATGTCAAAACAAGCATAATTTTATAGTCACTGGCAAGAAAGATTACAAACATCAATAAATCCCACTGCAATAGAGTACAAATACTTTGCTCAATAAACACACACACAAGCACAGATATCTATGTTTCTCCATGTGTTTGTGTCCGTGCGTGTGGATATCTATTAATAGAGAATCCTACATTAGATAATGGGTCACAATATGATTATATCAGAGATTGTCTGGACATTGAGCATCTTAATACACAAAATAAAATAAAATATTTGGCACAACCACATGTACACTGTACAAATGTGTCGGTAGGATTTAGTTCTATTTTTTGTTCAATAAAAAATCTGATTCCTAGAACTTAGGATTCAGATACTACAGGTTCTAGATTTGTTATTTTCAGCAAGTTAGTTAGGATTACAAGGATACAAGCTATCCAATTTATTCATGTAATTCACATATTATTGTTGGAAAGAACACGTTTTTCCTATTTTAGGAAACTGTGTAATTGATTGATTGTGTTTCTGCTACAGTGTCTTCAGTCAGCCAGTTATCTTCACGCTACATCAGTTGTCCAAGTTTGTGTCTTATGAAAAGCTCACCATCATTTCCACCTTTACTTCTCAACTTTCACTTGTAGAGATTCTAAAGAATGTACAGGATGCCTTTCAGATTCCATAAAGGAAGGAAGCAGTTTTTGAGGAGATGCAAGCTCTTGAGAATAACAAGACCTGGGAAATGGTAGATCTACCTAAAGGAAAGACAACAGTAGGATGCAAATGGGTGTTCACTCTAAAATACAAGTCTGATGGTACACTTGAGAGATATAAGGCTCGATTGGTGGCCAAAGGTTTTACTCAGACTTATGGTATTGACTACACGAAGACATTCGCACCGGTGGCAAAACTAAACACTGTAAGAGTTTTTTTATCAATTGCAGCTAACCTAGATTGGCCACTATAGCAACTTGATGTCAATAATGCCTTCCTGGACAGGGATTTAGAAGGAGAGGTCTACATGGATGTACCTCCTGGCTTTGGAGAAAAATTCGGCTCAAAAGTGTGCATATTGAAAAAGTCGCTATATGGACTCAAGCAATCACCAAGCGCATGGTTTGAAAAGTTCACCCGATCTGTGAAGAACCAAGGGTACAACCAAGCTCGCACAAACCATACGATGTTTATGAAGCACACAGTAGTAGGAAAGATAACGGTCTTGATAGTGTGCATTGATGAAATTATCTTAACAGGTGATGATTGTGCTAAGATGAGTCGACTAGAGATGAGTTTGGCTAAAGAATTTGAGATTAAACATTTGGGATCTCTCAAGTGTTTTCTGGGAATGGAAGTTGCAAGATCGAAGAAGGGAATTGTGGTAAATCAACAGAAGTATATCCTAGATCTCCTCAACGAGACCGGGATGAGTGGATGTAGGCCTATGGACACGCCAATAGACCCAAATGTAAAATTTGGAAAGAACAAAAAGGTGGAGCCAGTATACACTACTCAGTACCAAAAACTAGTGGGGAAGCTAATCTATTTATCCCACACACCCCGACATAGCCTTTATTGTTAGCTTGGTGAGTCAATTCATGCACCTTGCCCAGAAAGAACATCTAGAGGCCATCTATTGAATTTTGAGGTATTTAAAGGGTTCTCCAGGGAAAGGCTTATTCTTCCAAAAAAAAAAAAAAAAAAAAAAAATGCACAGCAAAATATTGAAGTCTACACCGATGCGGATTTGGCAGGTTCTACAACTGATCGAAGATCGACAACCGGATATTGTACCTATGTGTGGGGTAATTTGGTCACATGGAGAAGCAAGAAGCATAATGTTGTTGCTCGACGCAGTGTGGAAGCAAAATACAGAGCCATGGCCTACGTGGTTTGTGAATTATTATGGTTACAACAGGTTCTAGCAGAATTACAGAAGCCTTGTGAATACACCGATGAAACTATACTATGACAATACAGCGGCAATAAGAATAGCTCATAATCCAGTCCAACACGACCGAACCAAGCATGTCGAGATCGATAGACATATTATCAAGGAGAAGCTTGAGCAAGAATCATTTGCATGCCATTCAACCCAACATCGCAACAAGCGACAAACATTCTTACAAAAGGATTGTTCAAACCTAACTTGAAGGTTCTTGTCAGCAAGTTGGGCTTGATCGATATCTACGTACCAACTTGATGGGGAGTGTCGAAAAGTTAGGGAGTTAGTTAGGATTTAGTTCTATTTTTGTTCGATAAAAAATTTGATTCCTAGAACTTAGGATTCAGATACTATAGGTTCTAGATTTGTTATTTTTGGCAAGTTAGTTAGGATTACAAGGATACAAGCTATCCTATTTATTCATTCATGTAATTCACGCATTATTCAATAAGAATAATTGAATTATTTTCTTCTCAAAACCTCCAAAATGATAGTGACATTTCTACTTTAGACACTTTTACAGCCTCTACACAACCCATAAAAGTTATAGTATCCATGCAAGACAGTTGCGCCAAAGATTTGATATGAGGTAAAGCTACATCGTGGCATACCTAATAGGAGTTTTTGTAATTGAAGGGACTTCTACAACTTCAGAGATTGGCGCTCCTGCAACATTACTTGTGTTTGTTTTACTCGCATCTTCTTCAGAAGTTGTGGAAGAGACATTACAACCTAACTACATGCACATGAAGATAGATTAAAAGCTATTTAACTCCTGAATATGGAAGAGCTAGTCAATACATAATGGTATACCAACTACCCTTTGGTCATTACCAAACTGGCAACTTCACCAAAACATTAGGCTTAAAATCGATCAGGATAAAAGAAATAAAAAAAAAGCATGAAGCTAAATTCAATCAGCAGTTTTCAACGCAATCAGAAACCTTTTTTGAATGATGAGCGGGAAAACGGGTTAGGCAGTTTAAAAAATTATCACCATGCAGATGCTCTCGACATTGTCAGTGAAACAACAATAACATTTTGGAAACTATGGAGTCAATAGTTCAAGTTCATCAAAATTGAAAGGGTACATGCTGTTGAGCAGTACATCTACAACCACAAGATATATAAATGCAGTATATTTTTGTACGGAACACAATAACTTAAAATTTTAAATAAAGTCAATTTACTAAAGTTTCCTAGTTATTTTATATTAGTTCATGATTTTAGGTTTGCACATTTTATATATGTACTAGGAAGCATGATGCATACTCATGCATAAGCAGACACCACAAAATAGAGAAAGAGGCAATTCTTATTTTCATTAAACTAAGACATTACACATCTCTGTAGTAAGAGAAACTTATTTGATGGTAGATGAGCCAAATAAACAATAAGAGCACTAGTAGCGTGTTGGCAATCCCGAGTCTTTAAAAACAACATCAGCCTCTATAGGATTCTACTCAAAAGTATGTTAGGAGCATGAGAAAAAGATATCTGACTGCTGAAGCCATCGCCTCAAAAATCACCACATTTTCCTTTACTTTCTAAAGTCTACCTACCACTACCATGACAAATTCTATCTTCTTCATGCATTCACTTGAACAAAATCATCCTAGCTTGATAAATATATTATCACTTACATACTGGTATATATCATTCTCACTTGTCTCTTGACAAAACAGAAAATACTGACATTACTCATTCTGGCATGTTTCTTAATAACTGAATCATACAATACAATCTAAAAAAAAAAAAAGGATTTACGATTCTCAAATTTAGGTAAATGCTTTTGAAATAGAACACTAACAGTTGTTTAGTTAATTCTCATACAGAATTCTTTTTTAAATAGAATTCTCATAATTTTAAGTGCCTACTATAAATGTAAAATCTTCAATTTTGGACAAACTATTTTTACTATAGAGAGTTAAGTTTTTTTCAGAGTAACCATACATAAATTCAGTAATTTCTTTAAGTTCTTGGATATATTATTATACTGGCATGATGGTAGAAAATTTAAACTTAATTCATGAACAATTAAGGATTCAATATTTTCAACAGGGAACTAAAATTTCTCAACCAAAAGGTTCTAGAGTTCATCCTTTACCATCATCAATTTGATTGAGGACATGGAGAATGGTAAACTATAACCAAACATAGACCTTCTAATTAGAATTTGAGACATACCGCTATCCCAGTTTCAGTCTTGTCCACTTTAACATCCTCATCCGATGCACTTGTCCCCATTTCCTGATCCAGTGGCGTTTCGGCCTGTGTCATGGTGGACAGATTCGTTACCTCAATGAGAGTTCCACTATCCTCACCAGATGTAGGGAGACAAGCAACTTCAACATGGGAACTCTCTTCGTTACTTGCTGGAGAAGCACAATTATCAGACACATCTATAACTTTATTCCCACCAATGCTTGCAGTGCTCTCCTCAATGTCTCTATGAATTTCCTCATTTTGAACAACATCAACTTCCGAACTAGTATCTGTAGTCCTAACCACATCATTAACCTTGTTAACTGAAACTTCATCTACACTAGATTCAGAATGAGACAGATCACTGGTTTTAGAATCAAGTGTAGCCTCTTCCACTGATTCACTCAATTCTGATACGCTATCAGTTACAGATTCTACTTCACTAGATTCTCTATCTAGAACACTAGTTACTTCTTTGCTTAGTTTAGCTCGGTATCTTCTTCCTCGCCTTTTGGTACGAGATGTACCTTGATCTACAACACTATCTGGCTCCACAAACTCATTGAATTGTTCATCATTAACTTGATCAAGAACACTACTGACTTCTCTGCTTTCTTGGGCTGAGCGTCTTCTCCCTTGTCTTTTGGAATGAGATTTTACTTTTTCCGAACTACTACCCAGTCCTATGCTCTCATTGGACTGTTTACCATGTTCATTTACCAAACCTTCAGTGGCAGCATTGTCATCCTTCTCAACATCAATAGTCGCAACCGTTGCTTCACTGTCTCTGGCGTGCCCAAACCGGAAGACAATGCTACCGTCCGAACACTCTGCCCAACCACCGAAACCCATAAATAACAATCAGAAGAACTACACTACGACAGTAACAAGAAACAAGTACTCAGTTATTCCAAATCCCAAAAAATTAAAAAAAAATTAAAAAATTCCAAACACGAGCAGACTCAGAATAAAGGAACAGTTTTCTAAAATCTATAAGAGAAAATAAATGCAAAACTACCGAACTGATGCAGATCATTTTACCAAGCAATCAAACAGAAACTCAAAAATAGAAAAAACAAAAAGGAGGAAAAACAGTGGAATTACGTGGAGGACGCTACTAAATACGGCAATAAACAATCAATTGCTCCAAATACTTACAGAACAAGTTTTTAGAATCCCAAAACGGGAAAAAGAAATGCACAATTTCCTAAATCCTATCCATCTCTTGCTGAGCAACTAACAGAAATTCAACCGAGACATTTGAGGAAAATCAATGACCGTTATGTTAAAAAGTACACCGCCAAACACAATAACATGAATTCTTTTACTCCAAATTTCAAACACAAACAACCGGAAATTCAAAAACTTTCCTAATTCTCATCAAATAAACAGAAATTAAAACAAGAAGAGAAGAGAAAAATTACCGGAAGTTGAGAGGATGCCGAAATCCGAGGACGAAGACCTCGAGTCGGAATCCAATTTGGAGCCGAGAATTGGGACCCTAGTCCGTCGCTTCGGCGACGGCAATTTGGGAGCGAAGCTTCCAATTCCATTGCTGTTATGGTGAGAAGGTTTGGAGAAGAAAAGAATGCGGGAAGGGACGAAGAGAGTGTGGAAGCTCGGAGGCAGGGAAGCTCTGAGATCCGCCATTTTTTCTTTCTTTTGTTTGGTTTCTATTTCTGCATGTTCTCTGGTAATGGAAAAGGCAAGAAAATCCTCAAATGTGTAATGCTAATATTAGAAGGTTGTGTTTTGTTTTCACTTGTATTGTTTTTGAGTAAAATTAGTTGTTTGTTTGTTGTTTGGCTACGCTTTTTTCTCAGTGGAATGAGTTCTGTAAGAAATTCCAGCAGCACTGGAGTTGATAAGTGATATTCTTTCCTGAGATGGTAAGAACTAAGGACCATAAAGAAAGATTGTTGCTCGAGTCAAATTATGAGTTTGACCCTTATATTATCCCGTTCATTTTGCTGATTCGAGTTAAAATTCGAATTGAGATGTGATTTTATGTGAGAACTTTTTACTGTAGCAAAAAAGTTAAATGTGATTGTTTGTGAGAGCTTTTTACTGTAAAAAAACTCAAATTCTAAACTCGAATCAGCGAAGTGAATGGGACCATACATACATACTACTAAAGGAGGTAGCAGATTTACTGCTCTTTGAACAGTGTGCTGCCTTTTTTGTCCCTCAGTTTTTAAAAATTCCGTTTGTGTCCCTCTGAATTTTTTCTTCGAGCTTTTTGTAATTTCTGCTCTTCCTTTCCGGGAAGCGTCTAGATTTCATCATTTATGTGTATTTTTTTCCGGAAGAAAGAGAAAAATAGATTAAGATTTGAGATGAATTAAAATTAATAGGTTAATAATTTATATAAATTAATAAATAGGCTAAATTAATGTTTTTATCTATAACTTACCTGGTTATGAACCATAACTTAACAAGTTATTGTCCATAAATCACGGTTTTGTCCATAACTTGTCTGACTATGAACCATAACTTGACAAGTTTGTCCATAACTTATCTGGTTATGAACCATAACTTATATGGTTATGAACCATAACTTGACAAGTTATGGCATATTAATTTTTATAACTAAAAGTTAGCCTATATACTTTCTTAAACTTTTCATATTGACTTATTTTCTATTATTTTCGTTTTTTTTCTTCCTTCTTTTCCTTTCCGTGAGGCTTTTGGGTTTCATTAAAACATACATTGTAATGTTCGGTAAAACAATGTAAAACAATGTAAAAAAACAAATCAGATAATATTATGTGTTATGTATTATATTAAATATTTTAGTAAATATAAACACAGTTATTTACATCGATTATAATTTAATAATAATTGTTTTGTTCTTTCCACTTTCCTTAACTGCAACTTAGAAAAAACAACAAGCAAAAATATAAAGGAATAAATATGTGAATAAACATGTGTCTATAAATAAATATGTATATTTTTATTTATACAGGTAGACATATAAATAAATATGTATATATGTGTTACAAGTTGACAGCGACTTATAAACAAAGCTTTTACAATATATCATGTTTTCTAAAAACTTTTGAATATCTTTTCTATACATCTTTTTTTTTTCATTTAAATTACTATTCATTAAATTATTATCCGGATATTCCACTAGTTAAAAAACTAGTTTAGGCAATAGCACCTATTAAGTTGTAATTAAAACTTTTATAACGTAGAATACGACAATAATATGCTGGAAAAAATAGAGAGATGTTACTCATTTAAAATAGTATGCATTTCAATTTTAAGTGTTAGCTTGCATGTCTTAACGGTAATTGTACAAATTATGCAATCAAAAGGTGTATAATTTAAATCTCTCATAGTCAATTTCAAAAAAAAAAAAAAAAGTATGAGTTAATAGTTTAAGTTAAGAAGTTACGTGATTAAAATACATGAAACATTAAAAATATAAGATAACAAAAAAAAAAAAAAAACAATAAAGGAGTTAAAACTTGAAAAGTAAAGAAAAAAGAGTAAAGCACCTAAAAATTACCGATTTGAAATACCATAAGATAAATAAAAATTATAAGATAACAAAACAAAAAATAAAGAAGTTGAAAATGAAAAATGAATGGAAAAAAAAAAAGTAAAGCATCTAAAACTCACCATTTTGGACAACCACATAATGAAGAGTAGCAATTTATCCACTGTTTTATAGAACCAAAAAAAAAAAAAAAAGAGTTCAGAACAAAATAAAGGAGATATAAAAGAAAGAAAAGACAAAGAGAGAAGCATCAAAACATTTCGTAAAGGACTATAAAAAATTAACAAGTATAGTTCTCATTAGCTTTTTTAAAGAAGCTACAGCATGTTAAGGTATAGTAAATTCTGCTTTTATCCGAGAGCTTTTGAGAATTGTTATCAAACAACAGAATTTGAGAAATAGATCAGCGGTTGCTTTTGTACAGCAATTTCTACTGCTATTATCTAAATTTATTAAGATATTCTTAATAATAAAACTTAATTCTCAATGTACATATTTTACTTTTTTCATACCAAAGTAAAAAATATATATTTTAAAATAGTTATTTAAAAATTAAAAATCTTTAATAAGTATGCTATGTTAAATTTCATTTAAATATTTTTAATAATTAAAAATAAATATTAGTAGATGAATTATTTTTCTCTTTAAATAAAAGTAATTTATTTTTAAGAGCTATTTTAATTAAAAAAATTTGAAATATTTTTTAAATTATGAATATTGAACATAAAAATATAAATAAAACTAATGATAAAATGTATGATAAAGTATGTCTACTTTTGTCATTATTCATTCCAACAACAATTCTATACACAGTTGATCAAACACTTAAATTTTTGCTTCTAATACTCACAGCAGCTTTGTAAAAATATTTACCAAACACCTATATGCTTCTAGTCATAGCAACTTATTACTAACAACACAACAATAGTAAAAAATTTTAACAGCACAATAATGTCAAACTGACTCTAAGATTTAAGATTAAAATTTAAGATTAAGATAAGAAAAGAATTTAGGACTAAAATTAGGATTAAGATTTAAGGTTTAGGATTAAAATGCATATACCCTTTATATTCAACCACAAAATAATAAGCAATAGCCAAAAGAAAAAGAAAAATAAATAGATCTATAACATTGTTGTATAAAGAACTTAATACAAATAAGTTAGAAAAGAGTTTAATTAGCATTTTAAAAAATCACCGAAACAATTGCATTAATTTATACTAAGACAGAATGAACCAAATATATATATATATATATATATATTTATACATACAAAGGAAAAGGAATGAAAGAGAAGGAAAAGTAAAAAAAAAAAAAAAAAAAAGGAGTGAAGCACCAAATACGGTGCGTTTTTTTACGACTACGGGGTGAATAGTAGAGCCAGCTCTTTTATATATTTAGGAAATAAATAACAAAAAAGCCAAAGAGTTTGTGTTTTTCTTTTCTCTAAAAAAAAAGTTTGGTTTATAGTTGTAAGTTTTTTTTTTATATTATTATTTGCTCTATTGGTGCCCAACCTTTTCCTCGTGTTGCATACTAGCCCCAACTGATTTTGTCTTGGCATTTACTTTCTTGATTTATATATGGAATGGTTTTTAATGGTTATATTTTCATCGGTGATTACCCATTAAATATAAAAATTTAATTATTTAGTATGATAAAAATCTATTTTCATTAATTATTATAAATTTTTATAGTTAATTACCTAATTTATTACAATTGTTGCATCAATATTATACGGTTAATTTTATCAAAAAAATATATCGTACAGTTAAAATAACGATATCTACTAATGGGTGAAAATTAAAGTAACTAACATGCATACACACGTCCACACTCTATCGTTGAAAACCGAACTAGGAACGCACCCCTCGAAGCATATTGCTGCACCACGGGGACAAAAACCCTTCATTCACGAACCCACTTAAGCCTCCTAGTGCCCCGCACCGACAAACCACCACCGTAGCCCCAATGTGAATCCTCTTCCATGCACACCTCCCACATCCAACACCGTTGAAACCCTAAGGCCTCGTTCATTTCACCGATTTGAGTTTTTAGTTTTAGGTTTTTACAGTAAAAAGCTCTCAGAAAATATAACATCTAACTTTTTTTGTTATAGTGAAAAGCTCTTGAAAAATATAATATCTCAGCTCGAATTAAAAACTCGAATCCGCGAAATGAACGAGGCCTAAAGTTGCAAAGCTATCGGAAGTTTGACATGCCTAGAACAGGCAGCCAAAATTGCAAAAACTCTTCCCTACCTACCACAACGTGTCCTCTCTAACCACTAGGAGGAGGAGGAGGAGAAGAACAAGCGACTTTGTTAAATGAGCATTTGAGTTGAAATATAACCATTGAGCGTGCAAGCAAGTTATATATATATATATATATATATATATATATAAAGAGGTTGAAGATTTCAATACTATGAAGAAAAAAAAAATGATTTGAGACCGATAGAGAAAAAAATCTTGTTTATTTATAAAAGTTACGTGTTTTCAATTTAAGATAGAAATATCTTAATGTTAAAGGTGGATGTGAAATTAGTTACTCATTAATTTAATGAGTCATATCACTTGACAAGACACTTTATCAAATAGAAAAAAAAAATACTTCACAAGGTCGAATTATTTAACAAGGAAGTACCTTTTTTTAATCTTTATTATAGTAAAGGACGTTTGGATAGAGGATTCGTGTCATGATTCGAATCATGATTCGTGACTTATTACAGTATTTTATTTCATAAAAAATATACGTAAAATGAGAATAATTCTGAATCGTGATTCTCAATCTATGAACCAAACGTCCCGTAATAATTCGAGTGTATCCTTATAGTGGTGGCAATATGAGTCGTATTTATGTTAATTTAAATAGTAGTGTCAATTTTGAGTCAATCCATGTGTCCTTCATTTAGTTAAAAGAATAGATTAATATTGTTTCAATTAACATATAGGATTTATTAGCTAGCTTAATTTATTACCAGATTTACTTTATGAATTTAGGTCACAAATCTTATATATTTTCTATCATTTAAAATAAATATGTTAAAAGTTTTTTTTGCTAATATTTGTAAACATTTTATGTACTTTTAATTGAAATTTTAATAAATCTGAGGTTCATTTCCTGTCAATAGTATTAGCTATTGGGATCGGATTCATGTCGAAGTATCATGTGGAACCCGAACCGCTACTCCTAGCTCAGAACACAATTTCCGTTTTAAGGGTATATATACACAGCAGCTTTTACTAAGATAACGTTTTCTATATTAGCAAAATAATAATAATAATAATAATAATAATAATAATAATGAACACAAATATCTTTTCTTTCTTTCTTTTTTCCCCCTTTTT